AACAGAGGTGTTTCAATTATTACTGGTATATTATTAATATCAATAGTAGTAGTGCCTTCTGACTCATTACGGAAGTCATGCATCACAACTAAAAAGAAAAAAAAATAACAATAGGTAAAAGCTTCTACCTAGTCTTAAGTCGTAAATTTATTCTTCTATGTCGTATGTTCTTACCTTGTTCCAAAACAATATTATGTTCATCACACATTGGGAGTTCAACCTGTTGAACAGTGTCGATAGCAACATCAATAGTAATGGCGTTATTAGTTGAATCATGGTTAGCAACTAAAAAATTTATAAAAATAAACAATGACGTTCCCTTTAAATACTTATATAGCAGCAATTTTTCAGCTTAAATACTGCATTCCTACCTTTTTGAGAAGAGTTTATCAAATTTTCTACCAAGCAATTGTCTCCAACCTCCTCATTACACGCTGACTTGCTAATTGTGTCTGAAAGACTATGTGTTGACTCCGAACGAATATCTACAATATAAATAAATACTAAAGTTAACACATTTTAGCTACCGCATGCAATTAATAAGTAAAATTAATTAGAAAGACAACGGAGTACTAAATACTAACAACACTTAAAGTATTACTTACCTAAACCAGTATCTGTGTCTATTAAAGCAAGGTCAACTAACTTACGGCCCCGTGAACACATTTTTGTAAAACTATAATCAACAGTATATTTATATTTTTATATTAAAAACAAAACAACAAATCGTAATGATGCACCTATGCATGTACACTAAAAGATAATCACAATTTATAGGTTAACTAACTAACAGTTGAGCGAATGACTGTACGCTAATATCTCGTAAGCCACAGAACCGAAATACTAAATGTGAATTAGGTGTCATGTTTGGGTTACGAGATTTTTAAAAAGGTGGGTTACGGGGTATTGCTATTCATACTCTCAGCAATGGGAATACGAGCTATTAGAAAACACATTTAATAATATAAATAATAAAGTATGGCTTACAAGGTTTTTTGTACAGGCGAGTTTAGCTTTACATTATACTAATATGTAAAAAACGCATTTTCCAATTTTTGTGGGTTACGAGGTATTAGAACGACACAGACGATATATATATATATATATATATATATATATATATATTGTCTATTTATTGTAGAACAATTTTTTTCTTATTTATATTTTAGTTTGACTCAGCATTTTATCACATTGTCGATTTGAAAAAGAACAACTCTATAATATATAAATATAAAATATCAAACTGTTCGATTTTTGATTTGGTGTACCTTTCGATAATCATTTTTAATTTTGGTCATTTCGGACATTGTACAGTTTGGGGGTACAATGCTAGAAGTGGACAATAATTTCCGTACAATGCTAGGATTGCTAGGAAAAATTAACCAGGTTTATTTGACTTACGGCAATCATAGACATACTATACAATTATATTAACATTGTTAAATATAATAACATAAATATAAACAATTACATAACCACACAAATCATATGTCTGTGTCCTCCTAAAACATGGCACGCGTGCTGAAAAACTTCAAAGGCGGCATCTGAGAGTGGCCCTTCTGATTGTTTATTATTCTGTGGTATCATGATGAGGGTGGATATGTCAAATGTCAAGCTATATAGCTTTCACATTTTGTTTGGTTTGTGACAGATATCTCGTTCGTATATCTCTGGTTTGTGACGTTTGTTTCCTTCCTGCTAGAATTTTATATTGATTCATCTTTTGTTTTTTAAATTATTATTGAAACAAAAAACTAAAGTTCAATCTCATGGAAGTAAAACAAGAAGTTAATGATGGAACATCTCATGTTCTTTTGGAGGTTTGTAAAATCGAAATTAAGGAGGAACCCAAGACAGAAAGTACATACAATGCATTTGATTTAGATCTACAAGAATTCCCCAAAAAGACTGAAATAGTGCAAGAGGAACATAAATTTACGTCATTTGAAGAAAAACAAGTAAATCGTGAAGGTAAGTCACTAATAGTGCCTAAGGGTTAGAGGTATTGAAACTTAAAACATTTATCAATAGATTCGGCTTCATCTAGTGATTAACGAATTATTATATAGTGTATGGGACATCCTACAAAATAGTCCAAAAAGAACATAGCTTCTATGAACCTCCATGGAGCTTAACCCTTAACCAGAAAGGTTACATTTAGTACAAGATCCCACGGCAGGATCACTATGTTCATAACGCAGTTAATCAAACTTACATTTTTACATACATTTAAAATAAGGAGAATACATTGATAATAGGTTGCTAGTCAAAAATTGGCTGCAAATATTTTTAATTCAATTAATAGTAATTAATTTTTTGAACAAAACAAAATTTTATTTCCTTTATTTATTTTTTTAATAAAATATGCTGCTCATAACTAATTTGATGATAAAATGTTGCCTGAGAAATATGGTTGCAAATTAGGGTTGCCAGCTGTTAAAACGTGAGGTATCAAAGATAAAGTAAAATAAAGTTAGCTATACTGTTTTGACAAGTGATAATATGTATATTATTGTATATCTATCAACGCATGCTTTAAAAAACTCACATAACTGACACTTTAATCCAGTGATACCTCATATTTTAAAACCGTTGGAAACCCTAATTTGGGACCACTTTTTCTCAGGCAACCTGATATCATCACATTAAAGAAAAAAATTAGTTTTAATTTGATAAAAAACATGCATATAGGTATGTCATGAGCAGCATATTTGAAGCGTGCATTTCCATAACGTAGTAAGTGCCAAATTATAAATTTTTCAGGAGGAGTAAAAAACAGTTTTTTATCGAACATGTTTATTTCTTATAATGTAACATACTGAAAAAGGATTAGTTTAAAGGTATTATATAATACAAACATACCGCAAAGGAACAATAAACAAAGGTTACTTAAAAAAAAATTCAAAAATCTGTCTAAGGTCAAAATGTTGTAAGTGCCATCAGGTTTGCAAGTCAAAATGTTTTAAGTGCCAGATTTTTAACCGTTGTTTCTTACAGTAGAAACTTGCCCTGGTTGACCTAATTTTTCTTTAAAATACTTCCTGGCATCATTGTGAAGATAAGGGAGCATTTTTTCAATATCTGTTCTTTTTTTCTCTGGGATACCAAAGTGAGTTCTAGTTTTTTGAAGGTCTATGATTTTAAAGTCTTCTAATGTAACTCCAGATTTGAGTACATTGGTCTCACTCCATCCAGCGAGCTCACTATGTCTTTTAGCCACCATCACTGTACCAAATTTCTCTCTTGTAAGACGAAACTGTGTAGCTGTTGAAATTCCTAACTTCTTTGTGTTCAGTTTATCACAGGCAACGGTTTTAAAATCATAAAAGTCCTTAACCACAATGCACGAGAATGGATTTTTCTGAGCCGCACTAGTAATGATGTTAACAACATTCATCAATGTATAAGCCTTACACCCTTTTTTACGTTTTTCTATGATTGCGAAATCTCTGTTGCAATTAAGGAAAGTTTGTCCTTTTACAGGAAATTTATGAATAATTTCCTCAAAAACGGTATTTGCTAGTATGGTCAAATACATGGCGATCATGAACTGATTTTTATTTTGACCCCCACAATTATCCGACCACAAAATAAGCTTTTTCTTTCCGTGATTGCCAATTTCCTTAGTAAGGTAAGTATATAAACAGGAGCTAATTATCAAATCACCCCTTCCCCCAAAGTCATCAGTCCATAAACACATGAATCCCTTTCCTGTGATGGAATCGTGAATTCCTAAGTTACACACTGCAAGCTGTTGTGAATAGTACATTTCGGAGTGAGTTAATTGGGGAATGTACATTTGCTGCTGCATATCGAAGGAAAGAAATAGCAATTACTTGTACATGCATTTTTGGTCTCAGTTGACATTGCTTTTGTAGCAGCCTCTGCTCTCTGATGGTGAAGCTCCTGTTCTGTTACAGCAGCTTTATCTCCTGATTTTATTTGAACAGCCAAACTATCACATGTATCTACTTTAGGCCTTGCAAAAGATAAGTTAAATTTTGATATAAAAATTTCATTATACCATTGTCTAGTCACTGGTGGTTTGTTAGGCGGCTGATAATCTGCACAATATTTCTCTAAAAATGCACGGTACATTCTACTTACGTTTAAATCCGGTGACAAGAAGAGCTTATCGGGGTTTTCGCTCTCAATTTTTGGAAAACTTTCGATATGCTCTATAATCTTGTTACTCCAGACAGTCTTGAAAATATTTTGTCGAGCCCCTCCTCGTTTTTCTGACATATCTATTTTACCATCAAGAATTTTTTCTCCCAAAAGTTGCACTCTTCTTGGAGTTACGGCAAACGTACTACAAAATGTTTTGAGGCAAACCCTTATTTCAGATCCTCCAGGCAAAAGTAAATGGTAGGTGAAACTTTCTCCTACTTTCACTGGGATGTTCGTACTGACCATGACGTCTCCTTTTGATTAATTGTGGATGAATAAACCTTTGTAGGTAACTTTGCTGCTTACTATAATCAGCCATTCCATAGAAATGATTGTACAACTCAACAGGGTATTCCAGTCTTATGGATCTACATGCTAGTGGACACTTGCATTTTACCTAAAACAATTTTGGATTATTTAGATAGATTTAAACAAAAAAAATATTTATGTTTTAACGTGTATTTAGATAGGTATCTCTTTAAACCATACTTACATCAGCTGGTGGCATTTTCTTTGTAACAGTCTTTTTATTGACTAGAGAAACATATTCTTCGCCAGAGTTTCTCATTTTCTTGGTTTTATTTTTTTTCCAACTATCAACAACTCTTCTTTTCTTTTTGGACCGTTTTTCTATAATTTCATCCATATTCGTTCCAAATACTTAAACCCAACCCAACACGTCCAAACAAAAATAATTTAGTAACTGATGCGCCACTCTACATTTAACAGAATTGCACTACGATACTTACAACGTTATGACTTGCACCGCTACTTTATCCCCACTTTTCACGCCGTCGCTAGCCATATCGACATGAAATAAATTTTAGGCGATGGAACATGGCACTTGCAACTCATTTAACTTAAAAAAACCAAATGAGGCATATTGGCACTTACAACGTTATGGAAATGCACGCTTCATTTTATTTAAAAACAAAATAAAATTTTTGCTCAAAAATTATGTACTATTAATGAAATTAAAAATATTTGGGGCTACTTTTTTACTGTCAACCTATTATCAATGTATTGGCACACAACATAAGAAATGTACCTATACCTGAAATGTATGAAAGCTATTGAAGACAGTTCACCTGTGATACACCTTAGGGTTGTTAATTATGCTTTTTGATGTGTTAAAACAAGTCATTCGAAAGAAACCTACACTGAAAAAAATCTGTTGAGATGTTGATATTGATGCTATAAAAAGATGTTGATATTATATAAGATGGTAATTTTTTCATACAAAGGAAACAATTGAATTCGCCATTTTTCTTTCTCTACACAAAGCTAAAGAATGATAGGGATTGTTTATATTGAATATACACAGTTTAATGAGGTATGATTGAAAATTGATATTTTATTTTAGGGTTTCCACAACAGAATTCATTCGAAATTATTAAAACAATACCCGCGCATACCTGTAATAAAGAACAAAATATGGGTAGATCTGATGAAAATACATTAAACTATGAAATTCATGTTAAGCAGCTGGAAGATAAAAGTTATTTAAACAAACATATGAAAATTCATACTGGAAATAAACTTTATGTGTGTGAAATTTGTTTGAAGACGTTTTCTGATGCATTTAATTTGAAAAGACATTTGAGAGTGCACACAGGTGAAAAACCTTTTAAATGTGAAATTTGTTATAAAGGGTTTGGTATGGCACATCATTTGAAACAACATATTAGCACAAACACTGGAGAAAAATGTTATGAGTGTCAAACTTGTTTTAAGCAGTTTACTACAGCATATTATTTGAAACAACACATAAAAACCCACACTGGAGAAAAACTTTACAAGCGTGAAATTTGTTATAAACACTTTGGTCTAGTACATCATTTGAAACAACATGTAACAACACACTCTGAAGAAAAACCTCACAACTGTGAAATTTGTCTTAGGCAGTTTACTGTAGCTCGTTATTTGAAACAACATATAAAAACCCACACTGGAGAAAAAATTTACAAGTGTGAAATTTGCTTTAAGCGATATACTGCAGCCACTAGTTTGAAACAACATATGAGATCGCATACTGGAGAAAAACCCTACAAGTGTGACATTTGTTTGAATCAGTTTTCTCATGCAGGTGGCTTGAAATACTATATGAGCTCACATAGTGGAGAAAAACCTTACAAGTGCCAAATTTGTTATAAGGAGTTTGTTTTAGCACATGATTTGAAAGAACATATGAGAACACACACTGGAGAAAAACCTTACAAGTGTGAAATTTGTTTGAATCAGTTTTCTCAGGGAGGTGCTTTAAAACGACATATGAGATTGCACACTGGAGAAAAGCCTTACAAGTGAGAATTCTGTTCACTATAACTACTTTTTTGATACAACATATGAAATCACACACTGGAGAAGAACTTTATAAGTGTGAAATTTGTTTGAAAAAGTTTATTGATGTAAGCAATTTGAAAAATCACTTAAAATAAATGGTGTGTGATACTTCAGGAGTGTCAACAGAAGTGAATACTTCTTATAGCACGTTATTACTACATTTGGGTTAATGAAATTCTATGCCTGCTTATTACTGAATAGTTAATACCTTTTATAATAACATTTATATTCTTTAAAAATCAAAAAATCTTATTTTTTCTTAAAAATTTTTTTAATTATTTTATTAATTTTCAAAATTAATTTCTTCATTTTGATTATCATTATATTTCCTGTATTTAATCATTATGTTTCCTGTATTTTTTAAATTTAAATAAATATTTCAAATCAAATAAAGTCATTTTATTATTTCTTTATTAATTTTATTAGTTAAGGCAGGAGATAGAATGATTTGGATTTGTCTAGTTTTGGTTTTTGTGTAACGTAATTAATTTTGTGTAACAACATTTTTGGCGAAATGCCCCTGAAGATGCTCTGAGAGTGAAAGTACTTGGGCAAGATTTAATATAAAACTGTGCTTGATATCTGTCTTTTATTTTATTAAAATTCATATACAGTCCTCTCTCTCTATAACGATATGCAAGGGACAGACAGAGAGAGACAAAATTCGGTATTGTAATATTTATAATACTGTACTAAATAACCTATTTTAATTTGAAAAAATTATCAAAACGAATATAAATGAATTAACACTGTATTGTACAGGGTTTCTCATTATATTTTGACCCCGCACTTTATATACACAACTTTTTTTATATACATTGTTTTTTTTTTAGGATTTCCTCAAGAGAAGGACACTTCTGAAAATATCAAAACAATAGACATACATTCATGTAATAAAGAGCAACCTGCTAATCCACTTGCTAAGGAAAAAACATTTATATGTGAAATTTGTGTTAAGCAGTTTGTTAAAAAAAAGAGCTTAAATCGACATATGAAAATTCATGCTGTTGGTAAACCTTATAAGTGCGAAATTTGTCTTAAGCATTTTTCTCGAGCAATTAATTTGAAACAACATTTGAGAATACACACTGGAGAACAACCTTATAAGTGTGAAATTTGTCTTAAGCAGTTTACTCATAAAAGTTCTTTAACAAATCATATGTATGTACACACTGGAGAAATGCCTTATAAATGTGAAATTTGTTTTAAACAATTCCCCCGGGCAAATAATTTGAAAATACATTTGAGAGTGCACAGTGGAGAAACACCTTACGAGTGTGAAATTTGTTTTAAGCCGTTTAGTCTGGCATGCAGTTTAAAAAAACATATGAGGTCGCACACTGGGGAAAAACCTTACAAGTGTGAAATTTGTTTTAAACAGTTTTCTCTGCAATGCAGTTTGAAATACCATATAAGATTGCACACTGGAGATTCACCTTACGAGTGTGAAATTTGTTTTAAGCAGTTTACTCGGGGAAGCAATTTGAATCACCATATAAGATTGCACACTGGAGATAAACCTTACGAGTGTGAAATTTGTTTTAAGCAGTATAGAGACGCTAGTGCTTTGAAATCACATTTGAGATGGCACACCGGAGAAAAACCCTACAAGTGTGAAATTTGTCTTAAGTGTTCTACTACAAAAAGTGATTTGCGAAAACATTTGAGAGTGCACACTGGAGAAAAATGTTACAAATGTGAAATTTGTTTTAAGCAGTTTTCTTGCTGTAGTTCTTTCAGACGGCATACGAAATTGCATCTTAAGACTTCGAGGCGCAATCTAATAACGACTCAACCGGACCAAAAAACGTGTGGATAATCCTCCTCGTTGATGATTCCTCGTTGAAGAACGGAATTAAAAATCCTCCTAGGCATTTCCAGTATCGACAGATATCTAGAGCTATTCGGACTGCTTGTAGACGAGACAAGAACAAACATATAGCGAAAATTTGCAGAGACAGATTCAACAACACGACGACGCAAATAACACCAGAGAACTGTTCAATAAAGTTAAACTACTCACACGTAAATTGAAGCAGAAATCTTTGTCTATCAAAGATTATAAAGGCCTTAGACAAGGAAAGAGAGAGGACGCGTAACCGTATCGCAAAAGTGAAGCCAAACTGCCACCAGAGGAAGAGGTCATCGGCGTATCTTTGTATTTTTAAAGATTGAATAATTCATATTTAAAATGAAACATTTTTGTACATTAAATGTTTTAATTAATTTATTTTATTTTATACAAATATTTTGGAATCAAAATTAACGAAATTTATTTTTTTATGGAATTTTAACCCTCAACGCACACCGCCGCTGGCAAATCATCATGGTGTGAGTAAAATTATTAATTATTACAATTACTGAAATAACTATGCATATTTAGCATTCTTATTTAGTAATTTAGATCTCACCTTTCCTTAAAATACTAATTTATAGAGTTTTTTTCACTAAGTCAATACTTTTCGGAGTTATTGAAAAATAGGTTCTTATTCGTCAAATTCCATGTTGAATATTTCAACGAAAATAATAAAAAATGAAGCACTTTTCGACGAAATTCATTACAACTTTTTTTAAAGGTTTATTTTTGTTTCTAGCATCAAAAGTAAGCAAGCTATGACCAAAATATTCAGAAAAGCAAAACCTACATTTTTGTACTCTTTGTGATTTTTGGTGTCACTAATAAATTTTAAAAGTTTATAAAGTTATTTAAAAAAAAGCATTTTTTTGAATATTAAAAAAATCAGTAAAAAATAAGCCCTTTAAACAAATGAAACTTACAGATCATTATAATAATACAATAAAAACAATGACCAAGGTATTTATTAGATAAATCATTGAAATTCCAAGACAAGCATTTATAAAAATGAAAAAAATGTTTGTTAATCGAGATCTTAACTAGTTTTGATGGGAAATAAGCCACAATTTTACTAAAAAAATTATTTTATTAACGTTTCGGTGCCCAAATCGGGCGTCAACATCAAAACAAGAAAGCTGGAATATTTAGGTTAGATTTCCGAAGGTGCGAAATATGAGATATTGGGCTTATAATGCAAGGTAAAATTAAGGGTAAAAGATCCATAGGTGGAAAAAGAATTTCATAGCTGAGAGTGGTATAGTTGCAGTTCAATAGATCTTTTCAGAGCAGCCGCCAATAAAGTATGGATAGCTGTGGTGATGGCCAACCTTCGATAGGAGAAGCAACTTCGACAAGAATAGGATATAAATGTTGTTTTAATAGTAACATGGTACTACAAAAAATTGACAATTTATCTAGAAATTGCAATATAGAAATCAATTATATTCTGTCCAAAATAATAAATTTTATAGAGTTGAACTAAAATCAATATGATCTACTGTTCGATCGCATACTTTTTACATTAAAAAATTTTCTGACGACAATTTGGAATTACGTCATCGAGATTTTAAAAGCAAGTAGTGGTGGGTACCAAATGCAATCGATTTTGACTTTGACAAAATACCACAAATTACCAACGTTAAAAATGAATAATAGAAGTACATATCTTAATGAAAAGACAAGAAATTTCCAGCATATAAATGGTTGAGGGCCATCTGCCCATTAACAATAGGTAAAAGCTGATAAACAGACAGGATTAGAAAGTTTAAAACATCACTAATTAGATTATATTTCAAAACAAAGTAAATAAGTATATTTGAATGTTAATTCTTTTCAAACTAAGATTGTAAAATTAAAATTTTAGGAAAAAAATATTTATTATTTCTTGTTCTCAAGAAGTACTTTCATCATTTGCAATATCGAAACATTTTATTATTAAAAGTCGAGAAGAATTAAAAACCTCGTTCATATTTATATAAAAGTGCTATAAAAATGAAGGTATATTACTCTTAAAACGAATTAATATTTTTTAACAAACAAAAAGTAGAAAAAAAGAGGTTTATTAAGTGTTGCCAAAAAAAAAAAAGAACGGTAAACCGTATAAAGTGAATGAAATGGATACTAAAGAATTTTTTTACTTTAAGGATCTTTCAAAAATTTTTGGGCAAAAATTCACCAAAAATTCGGATAACGAAAAGGTAGTATGGAATAATATACAAATTCTTAAAGTAGAAAAGAGTTTTCCTACAAAAGATTTTTACAAAACTAACTTTGACGATACAACCTATAAAACTATTGATATTTCTGCTAGTCGTTTTTCTGATAATAATGTTTTAGAGAAATATAACTATATATAACCAGCCTACGAAAAGCCTCCTACTGTAGGAGACAAATCAAAAGAGCATTTACTGGAATTATGCAAAAACATCTTATTGCAAAAGTACATCAATCATTTTATTTCAATTTGTTGAGTTAATTTCTTGTACCAGCCCTCTCTGTGGCTCAGTGGTAAGAGCGCCTACCTTTAAACCTAAAGGTCGTGAGTTCGAATCCCACCTGGGTGGAAATTTTCGTTTATTAAAAAAAATTAATTAATGAAAATAATTTCTATCCTTGTGTGATCGGTACTCACAGGAGGGACCGCAGACGTTCGGATACAATTAGCGTCTCTTAGCAAAGACAATGACGTCGACTTTGATAAGTATCAAGACAATTACTCTACACACACAAACACACTACATTAATAAACTTATCTTGATTGAGACTGGCTGAATGACAATTGTCCAAGCCAAAACACACAAAAAAAATACTTATTTCGAATCTACATATAAATTTGTGTTATGTTTAATCTAATACTTTCTTTCGCAGATTCTTGGATTTAAGCTAATTATATAATTATCCTCCAGACTTAAGGTCTGTAGATATATAAATTTCTTTTCATATTATTAGTATTAACATATTGCTGTTATTTTATTTATTTTATTTTTTTGCAATAAACGAAACATTTTATTTGCATTTCATTAAGGCAGATTTATTCCCTAGCTACAATGTCCATAGCACACCACTATGGCCACCGACCGAGATCCCTATTCCCTCAGGTCACAAGCGACGGAAAGAGCGTGTACGGAGCCTGGTCTCACGCCCACAAGGCAAGAGGCTTCTTCCCGTTACCGACAATTGGTCGAAATTTTGACACCTATAAAAATAGAACTGCAGTACCTGGAGGATCCCAAGCTACTGGGGACTGAGGACAAATGCTACTGATTATTTTTTTAAACACTGTGGTGCAAAAATGAAAGAAATAAAATGTCCCAATATTAAAACTTAATTGGAAACCACAATTTTTGAAGATATTCAACAGGGTGTAATGGAAGACAGAAATAATAAATAATTTGGTTGTAATAATTTATTTGTTTTTTGTAATTATGTGTTTGAATGGCATGCTCTTGAAATTCTTCTTCTTAAAGTGCCCTCTCCTCAATGGAGGTTGGCTACTACAATTTTAAACTCTTCTCTATCTTCAGCTGTTCTTATTAGCTGTTCAAAATTTAGCCCCGTCCATTGTCGGATGTTTCTGATCCACGATAGTCTTTTCCTTCCTAGGCCTCTCTCTCCCTCGATTTTTCCTTTCACTATAAGTTGGGCATATTGGTACTTATTATTTCTCAGTATGTGGTCTAGGTATGATGTTTTTCTAACTTTTACTGTGTTAAAAAGTTCTCTTTCCTTGCCTATTTTATGCAGCACTTCTTCGTTTGAGGTATGCGATGTCCATGAAATTTTGAGTATTCTCCGGTAGATCCACATTTCAAAGGCCTCCCAATTTATTTACGGTTGATGTTTTAAGGGTCCACGTTTCAAGTGCATATAGAAGAGTCGACCAGACGTAGCATTTTGATAAACGTAGTCGAATTTCGAGTTTTATTCGAGAATCACAAAGCAGTTTTTTTATTTTTTCGAAAGATTTTCTGGCCTGTTCTATTCTCGATCTTATTTCTAGATCAGGATTTAGGCTGCTATCGATCCAACATCCCAGATACTTAAATCTATTGACCTGTTCTAAAATGTGCCCATTTATTGTGCAAGGTTGAGGTACGTTTTGGTTTTTTCGGATTGACATCACTTTGGTTCTTTTAATGTTTATTTTCATACCAAATTGCTCACAGGTCGAGTTGGTCTTGTCGATAAGTCGTTGTAGACCTGAGTCGGAATCCGCAATTAACACTGTATCATCGGCGTATCTGATACTGTTGATATTTACGTCATTCACATTGACTCCATCCTTGGAATCCTTCAGTGCTTCTTTAAATAGAAACTCGGAGTAAAAATTAAACAGCAGAGGCGACAGAACACATCCTTGTCTAACTCCCCTCCTAATTTCTACTTCTGAGGATGTGGAACCTTCGATCCTAACTCTGGCGTTTTGGTTCCAGTACAAGTTTTTTAAGAATTTGATGTCTTTTTTATCTAAACCGACTTCTTGCAAACGTTCTAATAGTAGGTCGTGTCTTACTCTATCAAATGCTTTTTCGAAGTCTATAAAGCATATAAATATATCTTTCTATTGGTCGTAGCATTTTTGGGCGAGAACTAGTAAACTGAACAGGGCTTCTCTCGTTCCCATGCCGGCTCTGAATCCAAACTGATCGTCTCCGATGATTGTTTCGCACATTCTATAGATACGATTATGTACGATTTTTAGTAGGACTTTTACTGCATGACTCATAAGGCTTATCAGACGGAACTCATTGCAGTGTTTTGGGTTTGGCTTTTTTGGTAGTGGGATGAATATTGAATCTTGGGGTATTTTACCTGTATCATAAATGCGATTGAATAAAAGAACAAATATTTTTCTTCGCTGATTAATTTTAACGTTTCTGGGTATATTCCGTCTGGACCTGGGCTTTTATTTGTTTTAAGTTGATTTTGATCATTTGATGTTATTTGATCCAATCCCTGTGATTTATTGTTTCTTCAATTTGGCTACTGATGTTCTAATCTTGGTTATTGTTGGTGGGCACTTTTCTCTGGTGGTCTAATTGTATATGAAAATTCTCCTCCAGCCGCCAATACGACAGAAGTTTTACGTTTTTGTGGCTTTGCGCACAAATTGGCGCATTTCTTGTACAAGAAAATGCAGCGGACACAAATTCTTGTATCGTTTCTGATATAAGAAACTATACGCTTGTATGACACTATCCATTTTTTTGTTATATCAGAAACGATATAAGAAATGATACAAGAAAACGCATAGTGTCATGCGGCCTTAATAATTAACTGCAATTAATCTTCAAATAAACAAATATTTACTCATTCTTGTTTTATATAAATCAAAAATTGCAGAATTCATAACATAATATAAATAAAATGTACTTTTCTAAAGATTTATCTTTTTATATGTTTGTTATAGTATCATGAACTGATATCGTTATTCCAAACCACAGCACTTCGCAACACGGTATCTGGTATAGTAAAAGTTGTGAGTTTCTAGCGCCATGCTTGTTTGTGCTATGAACTAAAACATTTGATGCCAAACTTAAAATGTAAGTATTAATAGTTTAATATGAAATTGTTGCCTTAGAACAAACGATTTTTTTATAATTTTCGCAGAGAAGTCGAAAAACCATTTTGACGATTAAAATTTCAAAAACAATATTAAAATTCAAAATTTATTCTCTAACTTCTATATCCAAGAAGCATCTCATGCGAAATTTTTATTCGTCTGCGTAAGCCAGTTATGTCAACTTTTTCTTCTATAAATGATTTTGGCAATTTCTGGTAGAATTTTGTCGAAACCTGTTGCTTTTAATGTATTTTCTATTTTCGTAACTTCTGTTCAAAATTCAGTTACTAGTATTTCTGTTTGGATTGGCCTAAAATTTATTATTTCTCTTTTTGGAAATAACTAATCTGTTAGTTTTTTTTTCTACAGCTTTCTTTAATTTTTGCAACCAATAATCAATGTCTGTAGACTCTAGCTGAATACTATATTCTAACCGTTAGTTTATTAAAGTTGTACAGTGCGTTTGTTCAAATAATTTCGTTGAACTATTTATAACCTTTTCTTTTTAAATTTACACTTTAGAGATTTAACTACCAGCATTTATTTAGTTGATCTTAATTTAAAAAATATATATATATTAAAATCTTAAAAAAAAAGCAGCATTTAAGTTATTTTGCACTTTTTAACTTTATTTTTTATGAAAAAAATAATTTTTCGCGTTATTTCACGTTTGTTTTCCATGTTTAATAAATTAATATATATATCGCATGCTCTTTCTCAATTTATTATAATGATATGGCAACACTGCCAAACACCAATATTAAATATTTTTAAGTGATGGATTCGACCGTTACTTGATGGAAATTCATTTTATATAACAATCAAACATTGAAAACTTTGTTTTCAAAACTTCCACAAAATTTATTATAAAATCTTATCACTACAGCTGTTTCGACAGAGTGCCTTTCTCACTTCATTTTTTTTTACAAAAAAATCGACTTAAAACAAATTTCATACAGGTTTTTCTCCAGTATGAGTTCTCAAGTGGATTGCCAAAGAAGGTTTGTGAGAAAAGAGCCTAAAACAAATTTCACACTTGTAAGGTTTTTCTCCAGTGTGCACTCTCAAATGTCTTTTGAAATTAGTTACTGTACTAAATTGCTTAAAACATATTTCACACTGGTAAAGATTTTCTCCAGTGTGAAATCTTGCATGTATATTTAAAGAACTTTTAAGAGTAAATTGCTTTAAACAAATTTCACACTGGTAAGATTTTTCTTCGATATGGATTTTCGTATGTTTATTTAATGTGCTTTTATGAGAAAACTTCTTAAAACAAATTTCACACTTATAAGGTTTTTCTCCCGTGTGGATTGTCATATGTTGTTTTAAATCACTTGCCCTCGAAAATTGCTTAAAGCAAATTTCACACTTACAAGGTTTTTCTCCGGTGTGTATCACCAAATGTCCTTTTAAAACCACTTTTTGAGAAAACGACTTAAAACAAATCCCACACTCGTAAGGTTTCTCTCCAGTGTGCAATCTCATATGCAGTTTCAAAGTATTTGCCTGAGTAAACCGCTTAAAACAAATTTCACACTTGTAAGGCTCTTCTCCAGTGTGCACTGTGAAATGAGTTTTTAACTCGCATGATCGAATAAACCGCTTAAAACAAATTTCACACTTATACAGCTTTTCTCCAGTGTGAATTTTTGTATGTACATTTAAAGAAGTTTTATGACTAAACTGCTTTAAACAAATTTCGCACTTATAAGGTGTTTCTCCAGTGTGCAGCCTTATATGCTGTTTCAAACTACTTGTTTGAGTAAATTGCTTAAAACAAATTTCACACTTATACGGCGTTTCTCCAATGTGCAGTCTTATATGCTGTTTCAAACCAATTGTCTGAGTAAACTGCTTAAAACAAATTTCACACTTGTAGGGTTTTTCTCCAGTGTGCATTTTCATATGCTGTTTCAAACTATTTGAATGAGTAAACTGCTTAAGACAAATTTCACACTTGTAAGGTGTTTCTCCAGTGTGCAATCTCATATGCTGTTTTAAACTTAATTTATGAGTAAATTGCTTAAAACAAATGTCACACTTGTAAGGTTTATCTACAGCATGGATTTTCATATGTTGATTTAAGTATTTTTTTGTAACAAACTGCTTAACACAAATTTCGCATATGAATGTTTTTTCCTTAGCAAGGAGATTAGCAGGTTGTTCATTATTACATGAATGTATGTCTATTGTTTTTATAATTTGCACATTGTTCTTCTTTTGGTGAAATCCTAAAAAAAAAACAAAATGTATAAAACAGTTATTCTGCAAGAAAAAATCAAAAAATAAAAGAAGTTATCAGTATAGGCATAGCTAAATATTGAAAAAACCAGTATTCATACAAGTATGTATGATCATAGTGATTTTTGATATGTGAGCGTTTTTCTATATTTTAGTGGGCTGGACATAGTGGTTCTACCCATCTGTATATGTCGTCGATTTTCCTAATTACAGCTTCCAATTTTATTGAAGTACTATCTTGATAAACAAAACTTTCAACTACTTTATATCCAGCAATGTTCTGTTGTTGCTCCTATCGACAATCATTAGTTTTATTTTGTTTTTAATTATGTGTAATCCATGTTCCTCGCTATAACTCTTTTTAGTTTGTAAGCTATTCCCCACTTTGGGATATAAACATTGTATCATCGATAAAGCGAAGATTAGTAGAATCTTTAAGGTACCTTAAGTATTTGTT